GGCTGGTGAACTCATGCCTAGCAGAAGAGCTCCCGCACATCCATGCCTTTGAACAGAAGACTCTGACCCCGGAGCAGTGGAACCGTGAGCGGCAGAAATGAGGGACTTACAGCTGGGCAACCATTAAACCGTGAATCAGGACCAGATTCTGCGTGTGGTGTGTGTTTGTGTGTGTGTGTTGGTGGGAGAAGGGAACCATGAAACTGGGGATCTGCGGTCTGCCGTCTCCCTGCTCTATTTACTGTCCTCTTTTACCTGTCTATCTTGGTCTTTATGTCCTCTTAAAAAACGAAGGCTCGGGGAGCTCTGGTGGCCTAGTAGCAAGAAGCTGCACTGCACTCCCAGAGGCGCATGGTTCGAATCCACCAGATGCTCTGCCGGGGAAGGAGGGACACTCTCCTCCTGAACCAGTCAGATCCGATTTGACGGTACACACACACACACAAAATAATAATAATAAAATTTTTTTAAAAAAAAAAAGACATGCCAGGGTGAAACAAGCCAGGTGTAGTTAAAATGCAGAAGGGCCAACATACAGAGCTTTGTGTTTTATATAAAGGTTGAGTTTCCTTAAGACTTCTAAAACAAAGTTCAGTGAAGCAGTGTTAAGATTACTTCCTGCAGTTTATACCTATACGTTCTAGACATTTTTTGTTTCAGTGCTCTTTGCAAACTACTGAAATTATTTCAGGACCTGTTGAAGGATTGTGATCCACAGTTTCCAAAAGCCCCAGAGTTGGGCTTTTGTGGCCTTGTCCTACTGTGGCACTTTCAGAAGCCATGTCACACACCTCTTTTCACGATGCCTCTAGGTAGGGATTTAGAACTGGAGTCAGCAAACTACTGCCACATACGGCTTAGGTTTTAGAAGAAATAGTGCTTTCTTGGAATATACAGTGCCCCATTTGGCTTAATGTTTGTTTGTTTTGTTTTTTTTTAAAAAAGGATAATGGATAAGATTAGAGACTACGTAAGGGTTGGGTCCTGTAGATCCTATTCAGAACTTTGGCTTTTTTTAAACTTCTCATTTTCTGCCTGTTCTTTTTTTCCCTAAGGTCTTTGACTTCGGTTGAGTGATAATTCAGGGCAGGAGATGTAAGAGACCCCACCATGTTCTCAGTCAGAATAGATTAAAGCTGAGAAGCAAGGTCCAGAGATGTAACCTACCACCACTCCTATCCTATCCTGCTCCAGTGGGACACCCACACCTGGTGCTTCTCAGCACGGCGTGTGGAAGCCTGTAACAAGTGAGAGTAGAGAGCTCTGAGAGGGCCAGGAATTAACCAGGCCCATGGTGGTTTGGGAGACTTGACAGAGAAATCATTTAACCAGCTTGTTAAGAAACATCTGAGCAAAAAACAAAGAAGAAACATCTGAGCAGGGAAATTAGGAGTGGTGTTATTGTTAGGTGCCGTCTAGTCAAATATGATTCATAATGATCTTACGAACAGAAGATCTGAACTCTGCTTTATCGTCTGCCATCCTCACACTTCCTAACACACAAGAACCCACTGAAGCAAGTCACCGTGTCATTCACTTGGTCAAGGGTCTTTCCTTCGCCAACCCTCCACCCTTCCCAGCTTCATGTCCTTCTCCAAGGACAACCCCTTCCAGCAACATACCCAAAGTATGTGAAGTAAAGCATCATCATTCATGCCGCCACAGGGCACTCCCCCTGCACCCTCTCCAAGACATTTCAGAATAGTATATATTAAATGTACCAGTTGATGTGTCTGTCAGTGGCAAGCCTTTTAAATAGTGGCATGCAACTGGGCAAGAAATTAATTTCTTGAGGAAGCAGTTTGGGGTGATGTAAAAAGTTTGGAGTGTTTTTTAAACCCGAAAGGTAGGTTGAGGACAAGTTAAAATGCCCTTTGAATGGTCGCTGATGGGGATATCAGTAAAATGCTCTTTGAATGTTCGCTGATGGGGATATCAGGGAAGGTGCGACCAGGTTTCTGTTACAGGTTCTTCCGGGGTTGCAGTGGGTAGTGAGTGGCGGGGGGAGGTGAGACTGATGAGCACGAGGCTCTTGCCCCCTCAGATAGTTTTTCTCATGGGGAGAAGAGATGGTGAATGAAAGTGTCTACCAGAGAACCTGTCACATAGGAAATGCATGGCAACCATGCTGCTGTGGGCAGGAGGTAGGAGGGGAAGAAGCTGTGCCTTTTTGAGGGCTCACATTTCCTTGAATTTCCCCATCCACTGGGGTTACACCCCTCTAGGGTTGCCTAGGGCCTGCACCCCATGGTAAATCACCCCTCCCCTCTCACAGACTCAGATGCCACTGCCTCTTCAGATAACAGTGAAACAGAGGGGACACCCAAGTTGTCAGACACACCAGCCCCCAAGAGGTGAGAAGAAGCCAGCATTTCTCTCTGGGGGTGGGTTAGGGGTAGAATACCTGGCCTCTTGAACGTCTCTGACCTTCTCTTTGTCCTTTCTCCAGGAAGAGAAGCCCTCCGCTGGGGGGTGCCCCATCCCCCTCCAGCCTCTCCCTGCCTTCTTCAACAGGGTTTCCACTTCAGGCCTCTGGGGCCCCTTCCCCATACCTGAGCTCGGTGAGTTGGGGTCAAGGGTGAGAAACGGTAAACTAAGATACCTGGGAAGAAGGTGGGAATTGTGGGTAAAGGCCCAGGCTTTGGGGTGAAGCCAGTTCAGCTTTGGGGATCTATGTCTAGGTGTAGCCAGCAAGCACCCTTGGAGGGTGTGAGTTGGGGCTGCCCACTTCCTCTGTGTGGTGTAGGAATTGGGGACAGACACGGCTGAGGAGAGCAGGCCCCAGGACAGTCCTGCTGTCCCCTCCCTCCTCTCAGGAGTCAGGGGGAGCTGCACTCATCACCATCTCTTTTGTTTTTCCATTCTCCCTGTTTGCATTTCTCCTCTTCACCCTTCCACCCCAATCCACTCCATTTCCCATGCCCATCTCCCTGATCCTGCCACAGCAGCTGGCTTCCCCCACCTACCCCCCATTCCCTTCTGACTACTTGGCCCTGCAGCTGCCTGAGCCCAGCCCCCCAAGGCCCAAACGGGAGAAACGGCCCCGCCTGCCCCGGAAACTCAAGGTATCCTGATTTGGGGAGACCAGGGAGGGACTAGAACAGCAGGAGGACAGCTGCCCTGAGGGAGGCTCAGGACGGGCTGGGAGCCAGTCCTGGAGCTCTGCATGACTGATCTGGGGCTGCTGGGTCCCAGGCCAGGGCAAAGCTCCAAGAGGTCCTGACCCTCACTCATCGTGGCCACGAGTCAGGGCAGAACTGCCTTGGTACCCCTTGGAGTGAAGACTCCTGGGGCCAGCACTCACCCTGCTGCAGTGTGGCCAGCAGCACGGCTTGGTTTCCACCTGTTGGGGGTAATCTGTGATGCCCGGCAGCCCAGAGGAGGGACCAGAGTTGTGGGATCTGGGCTCCAGCCAAGGCCCTACCGTTTGAAAGCCATGACCTTGAATAAGTCTCTGTGACCCACCCTGGGCCTCAGACAGATTCTGCATCTGTAAATTGAGTGACCTAACTCGATCGTGGCAAGTGCTCTTTGAGCATCCCACTTATCTGTCCTAGTTGCTGTAAACGCAGTAGTGCACAGAGCAGAAGCCCCTGACCTCATAGGATTCGTTTCCTGACAAGAGAGGCAGAAAAGTGGAAAATGCCCTAAATGGAATAGGGCTGACGCTAAAGGTTGGGTGACTTGGAATAGTATTTTATTGGAGGTTTAAAGGACATGAAAAAAAACCGTGTGGCTGGCTTGGAAGTGTTTCTGTCGCCAAGACCCAGTGCAAAGAGTGCATGCTTGGTTGGCTCAGGAAGGAGGCCAGGCTGGTGGGAGGAGAGGGAGTGATGAGAGAGCAGGGCCGCTTAGTGGCAGAAGGGCAGGACCATGGCCGGCTTTGTAAAGACCTCCCTTCAAACTGTGAGTGAAACGGGGGACTTTTGGAAAAGGCTGAGCAGAGGAAGGGTGTGCTCTAACTTACTTAGAGTTGATAACAAAAGTTTAATGAGACCCCTGTGTGGAGGCTGTGCTGGGTGTGGGACAGAGGAAGTACTGCTGGGTAGAAGAAAGGACACTGCGAAGAGGCCACTGCAGTAACTAAGCCACTGGAGGCTGCAAGTGGCTTGTGGGCGTTCTGAAGAATGAGCTGCAGAGCAGTTAAGGCCTGGTAGAAAGCTGGGAGTCGGGGCTGGCTCTGGGCGGATTAGCCTGAGCAGCCGAGGAAGTACAGCGGCCTTTTCCTGAGATGGGGAGCGTGACAGAACAGGTTTTAAAGGGAGGATGAGGAGCTTGGCTCTGAGCACATTAAGATGCTCTCGGGAAAGTCAACCAGCAGCTGGATATGGACGCCTGGGATTCCAGGGGGTATAGATTTGGAAGGCGGCAGCATGGTGACAGATGCAGTTGCTAAGGGCAGAGTGTGGCTGGAGAAGAGGCCTGAACCCCAGGAGGAATGAGAGGGGCCACGGCAGACAGAAAGCACAGTGCTTGGTTCTAAATCAGATTTAATGTTGCGTGTCCTTGAGTCGGAACCTCCCCGTAACTGTCCTTTCAGCAGGTATTCAGAGATAGGAAATCACAGCAGGGGAAATTGCCCATCCTTCCCATGTGGAGCAGCTGATGGATTTGAACCACCTGCCTTTGAGATTGTAGTGGAGCACTGGGCCACCAGAGCTTCCTAAGGCAGCATTACTGAGGGCTCTCAAGTTGGCTGGGTGGTAAGTCAGACTCAGACACCAGCAGTGAAATGAGAGCCCACATCCGTGGTGGTGATTACAGTGGGGATTCTGGAGCCCACATCCCAGCTTTGGATGTGACGTCCCAGCCCTACGTCCCATGACCTCTTAAGCTTGAAAGATGGATGTGAAAATAATGGCACTTTGTTCTATTTGTCAGGGTATTTGCTTTTGGCTTTTAGGGTGGGGTGAGCGAGGCAGAGGGCAGCGAGTTCTCGGGTGGTGGGGTGGGAGTGTGATGAGGTAGTGTGGACTTGTGGTTTGAGGCTCTGTGGTCATGCTAGGTTGAG